AAAAATTTTTGTGATAGTTCTCCCCAAGTTCTACTAGATTCATGTACTAAAAAGTTTAACCACATCTTAGTTTTATCCCTTAATAAAAAAGAAAAAAGTCTAAGTCTAACAACATCATTTGACACTCCATCATATCTAAATGTAGCACACAATTCTAGAAAACTAGCAAGATGTAAGTTAAGATCTTCATTCGGTGTTACCCCAAAACTGATTATTTTGTATCATTTGGATAATAGAAGGTTTAAGCTCAAATGAATTAGCAATTACAGTAGGGTTTTGTATACTCAAGTGAATTTCATCTACTGTAGGATTGTCATAATCTCTTAAAGGTCTTTGATGATGTTCATTTTCAATTCCTTGATTATTTAAGTTACCCATTTTTTTTCAAATTTTCCAATTTTTTTGTGGTTTTTGAATTTTCCCAATAGTTCTTTCTAACTCAGAATCGTAAGGTACTAAACCTTCAAATCTTAAACTATGCATACACAATCATAATAAGCAATTAAAATAAACAAACACACTAAAATATAAAAATATTTATTAAACTACAATTTTTCTTAATATAAGTTAAACTATATTTATTAAACTACAATTTTTCTTAATATAAGTTTTTCAGTTCAAACAAAGTCTTCTAAATTATAAAGTAATTTACTGTTACCTCCTAAGCAATGATGCCTAAAACTTGATGTGGGGTTTTTGTATGCGATGTAAGTATCTTCCAATATTACATCACACAATTAGTAAATATGCAAATCAATCACAATAAAAATCACTTTAATATAAATAGTTTTATATTTAAGTTATCAAACATAGTAATTATACAAGTATATGTATAGCTCAAGCAATAAAAGACTCTGATGAAGTCCTAAGTATTGATCTCATAGGGAGGCAGGAATTCTTATGGTTATAGCAAAAAACACAATATTCAAACTACAAAAATTTAAGTAAGAAAAATAAGTGGCAAGTAAATCTAATGTATGCTAATGAAATGTAGCTAAAAGAACTAAGTTAAATAAACTATTTTCTAAACTTCAAAGTTAAATTTACTGTAACTAAACAAAGTTTTGTAACAAAGAGTTCAAATTTAAGAAAGCATCATTCCCCTTTATAATGAGTTTATGGTTAGTGAAGTTATTAAAATCATTTAAAATTATATAAAATTGTATTGTGCTAAATAGAAGCATTCCTATTCTTTACCATCTGTCGAGTGCATAAAGAACATTGGCTAATCCAGAGTTTGGTCCCTACTATTTGTGGTTAGGTTTGGAGGATATTGGCTCTCACTCCTAATCTCCCACTTCCCCCTCACCTGAGTGCTAACATCTCGCTTTAGATTCCAAATAATTAGATTAAATTGAGGATTTTAGTATGTCACCCTAAAATCTCCAATTCTACGCCCATCCAAATATTTTTCCCTATTTATTTTCACTTAAACCCATGGAATACATTCTCATTCATGAAATGGAATGTGATTCTCACTTTGCTATAGAAAGCATAACCCTTTCAGATCTAATGTTTCTAAAAAAATTTTAACATTTCAATTGGCGATATTAAAAAGTAAATGAAGACCAGAGTTTAAATCATTATAATTTATTGACATTTAATACCTTGCACAATAATATTAATTCTTCACAAAACCATATCTCATTATAGGGAGAATGACAAAAAAGACTACTCAAAATTCATGAGGAGGACACGAAAAAACATGGATTATATATAAAAAAATAAGTTTAAAAAATAAAGAAAGGAAAGAACACAACTTATCTCACACTCCTCCTCAAGTAAATCCCTTGAAGTTTTCTTTAAGCACTTTCTCTCTTTACAATAACACTCAATTCTATCTTAGAAATGTAATGAAGAAGAAATCTCTCTCATTCCCTCTCCTCTTACAACTCTAGAAGAAAATCCTCTCCACACACAAAACCTAACCCTCGACTCTCCTTCTTCAAAGACTCCACATGACACCGCTTACAAAGACCTCACAAGACTTCTTAAGAGTGGCGCCAGCCCCTCCAAAGAAACTCAAAAATCTTTTTTTTTCCCAAGAGACACACCTCTTCACATCAAAAGGCAAATCCCTTCATCCAAAAGACATATCTCTTCATTCAAGAGTCTTACCTATGTGTTTAGATGCATCGAACCACTCCATGGGGTGTTTGAATTACTTGGAGCCTTCTAGAACATCTCAAAAATAGTCCATAACTGCCAACAATTCGTCCACATTCGTCTCTGGTGCCTGTTTTGCTGCCTCAGGAGCGTGTATGTTATGACGGTTGTTTACTGGAACGCTACTCTATGGAATCTAGCGTCTCTGGTGCCTCTTCTTTGTAATATGGCGCCTCTGGCGCCAGTATGCTGAAAATCTGCATTTTGACTCCAAATTTCTTTTTTTCTTGCTCTTTTTTTCTCCAAATGCCTAAAATCAATATACCTGCAATAAAACACAAAAATATATTTTTTTAAAGTACAATATCACCAAATTTAAGCATAAAATGTATACATAAAATTGCACATTTTTTTTGGTGTATCAGGTCATATGAGTCTTGCTCATGGCTTCATGACTTCCATATGGTTTGGATGAAGCCAAGTGGCTTACCCATGGCTCATGCATGGCCTACATGGCTTGCATTGAAGGAGGTGGGTGAGAAATTCAAGTATTGAGAGGGCTTTCATGAATTCCATTTTTATTTGATTATTTTATGTTAACTTGTCGAGCTACTTAGATCAAGTTTGATTATTTCTCTTGTCTGGTTGGAGGCTCCATTGATATACAATATCCCTTTTTTTGGTTAGTCATGGGTTCTTTGCTCGATTCACGAAAGTTAAATAAGTGAGTTGGAAGTTTCATTACTAGTTGCACTTTTATGACCATCTGGAGGATGTGGGAGATGTCAAACTCACTTAACCCTTTAAGGAGTCGATTGGAAAGCTCCAGTCGAGTGAGAGTAGACTTTAGCGGATGATTAATGATGAACCAATGGGGGTGAGTTTGGAAATACGACCAGAGCCTACGAGTGAAAAAAAAAATAAAGAAAACATTAATTTCTCCATAATTAGATATGTGAACTCGATTCCTTTGAAGAACTCGGCCAGTGTAATTGACTGACAGTTATTTTCCTAACTCCTCTTAAACTAGCATCGAGCTGATTGCCTCAAGTTCAACTTTGAAGTACATAAAGAGCTCTACATTTGGCTTCAAATTTTGGAGTAGTGGCAGTGACACTAAGGACTCTTTTAACTTCATGAATTTGGGTAATTTTGGCAATTTTTGGGTTTCAAGGGTATTTTGGTAATTTTGGAGAAATTTTGGGTAGGGTGAACATACAAGCTATGAAGTGAAGACTCATTTTGGATCATTCATATGTTGGTCCTAGCCATCTTGGCCAAAGGCCAAGGCTTGAGACGACTCGTATGAGTTTCTAAAAGGAGTTAGGAGGTAGGCTCAAGTGTATGTGATTTGGGGTTAGGGTGTGTATGGGGAATTATGATAGGTTTAAGTGTATGTCTGTGAGTTCATCCTATAGGAGTTCTTTGAGCTTCCTCATGTTGGTTTCAACCTTCTAAGTACTAGAGGTTAGAAATATACATGTGAAATTCCAGAAAGAATAAAGAAGCGTTTAGAATTTCTAAGGGAGGCAGGTTCCATCATTAAGTTTTTAAGATAGCCAACAGGAAAGTTCTATGACTAGATTCTAGGCTTCTAGAGAGGAGAAACTTAGACCTCACCAAAAATGAGGTCAACAGAAGGTACTACTAGTTTAGAAGTTCACTCAGTGTAGAAATTTGGTGAACATCCGAGCTCAGGATTGATTGCCTAGGAGGGCATTTTGAAGAACTATGGGAGGCATGATCCTTTCGGGAGGAAGGTACATATGCAACCATCTTGGTGTAGCTAATTTGGAGTTGGAGCTTAGTTGGTCACCTCTCACTTTTTTGAAAGTAAAAGATGAGGTGGAGATTGTTGTATTTATGACTTTTATTTAATGGATATATTATAGTTGATTTGTTTCTTTTTTGGGTCTTTCCTTATAAGGCTCATGTAAGAGATGTATGTTGTGGAGAAGTGTTGTTTTAACCTCAAGCGTCTTTCATTCTCCCTATCTGGTGCTAGGGGATTCTCCCTCATTGTGGACGTAGTCGAATCGATTTAATGCGAACAACATAAATCATTTGTGTTTGATTGTTGTTGTGTGAATCTACGCTTTTGCATTATTTTCACATAACAAAAACAAGATCTTCATGAATTACGCACTGGAACTTAGTTAACAATTTTATAGACTCATGCTAATAATATGCTAAATTGATTGCATAAACTTTGCAGTCTATTCTTCATTCATTTGGATTTGTTCAAGATCTTTTATATTTAAACAAAAATTAGATAGGGCTAGCATGAAAACTTGCCTTAACAAACATTCAAGTGGAGTCAGTTCTAAGGGGGGAGTTCAAAGAGTTGTTGGTAGCATATCTGAGAGGAGGTGGAATACTTCGGGGAGTAGATGCATAAATCCATATCCTGTCGAACCAAACTGTAAGGAGAAGAAGAGGTGGCACAATCATCTTCTCTTACATGCCAGGACTCTGCCCTGCCGAGCCGAACCTTAAGGTGAAGAAGAGGCTGCGGTGGATTCTTTCTCTTCCATGTGCAAGGATTTCTTCTTCTCGGTCGGGAGATGAGATTTTTGGATACAAATGGTACAAATATGTAATGCAAAAGATTTGACGGCGTACCAATAAATATCAAGATTTGTATGTTATACTGGTAAATATGAAAGATTTGTTTGGAATGCGAAATAAATTTTTTTCATACATAAATAAAATATAATATTGTAAAAAATAAACAAATGTTGGACACCTAAAGACATATGAATGGAGTGTTTATGTATGTAAATCGCCCGGTCGAAATTCCTAGGTTACGCTGAATTTAACGAGACATCAGTGCTAGACCGGTTCGGATCGGTGGTCGTGCTAGACCGGCTGGATTTATGCGAATGTCGTAATGATAAATTCTACCATCACTAACACCTGCCATCTGCTTCCCGACCAGCGAAACCCTAATTATGGCGTGCACACTGGACTTCCGATGCCTAGACGAGGGACTCGGCGGCCAGAAGAACAAACGTAAGCGCTCCCATCCGGATGGACCTGATTCCATGGAAGTCGAAGCCTCTACTGATTCTGTTGTTGAAGGCTCAGTCAATCTCGCACCGCCAGCAAAGCGTCCGGCTCTTCCATCTCTCGAGAATCCGGAGAAACCTGCTTTCATCGGGCGCCCTACCTACGACGGAGTCATAGCCGGAAAGGTTTCCGGCCGGAAATGGAAGCACCCGCGGACGCAGCGAGCCTCCGCTGCCCGAATCTCTCGCCGCGGCACGTCCCTCGAGGTCCGATCCAGGGAGAAAGAGTTGAAACGTGCATTCAGGGAGAGGAAAGAGGAGCTTAAGGAGGAGATTCGGAAGAATAAAGAGGAGAAACGTAAGAGGAGGGAAGAGCAGGAGAAAAAGAAAAAAGAGAATATATTGAGATCTGGAACCAAGCTACAGAAGATTACTAATCCCAAGACCCTCAAGAAGATTGCCAAGTCCAAACAGAGAAAGCTGCTCAAGGTTGTTCCCGACGACTTGCTCAACAATAAAAAATAACAATCCGAGGAGAGAGTCTAGAAGAAAGGGCAAGTATGTTTGGCATTTTTTACATGCTACCACATTAGCATGTTAGCTTTGGAATCATGAGATTGGGTTTTTGTATTTTAATCATGTTTGTTATGTCTGTTTCGTTTCTATTGAATTGGGAACTAGAGCTTTGATAGGTATATGATTTCATATTAAATTCAGGTCGTGTTTGAGTTAAGCTGATGCTTGATCATTATCTTACATTGATAAGATAGTGAACAACTATTGGTGTGTTTGATTGCTTTCTTTCATTCATGCCATGAGCTTTTTTTTTTTTAATTTTTGACATTAATTTGTTTGATACTAATTTATTCTTTCTTTTCTTGGCGTGCTTTGCCAATTATCCTCAATTATTTGCAGTAATATCTGATTACAATTGTGAGCCTTATAATGACATGAGCTATCATGATTTACATTCTGAAAGCATATTGTGCGTTCCTAGTTATAATGAACTTGGTCTGGCTTATTTTCTTTCTTGAGTTTTGCTCAAACCATACTGTGAAAGCTTGTTGTTACCACTTTAGATCATTAAATGTGGATAGAATAGCGGGCAGGTATGCTCTTTATTATGCAAGCTTAGGTGGTTGCTTTGACTTATGTCCTAACTTGCACCTCAGTTGAAGTTCTTTGTTAAAATCTATGGAAAATCTCTGTTTTCTCGTTTAATGTGTCAGGTTCGGGGAATCTATTTGCGAATTTTGGAATTCGGACCACTATTTATTATTTTTTTTTCTCTTAGATTTGCCTGAAATCATCAACTTTTAAGTTAGACATAGCTATCTCATCACATTTTAAACTCAATGTCATTTCTGGCATGAGCAAAAACAAGTGGGTACTTAATAAGTAATATCAAATTTCTGATTTGTGGTAAAGATTGGGATGAAGCTGCAATTTTCATCTTTAAGGTTTTAAACAATTTAATTGTTATTATTCTTTCTATATTTTCCTTCTTCAGAGTTACATAAGGTTCATTTGTTCAGTAAACTTATTTAGTACATCATGCTGTAATAACATAGTTGGGTTAAATCAGGTGGATGATGGAGCATTTTCTGACATAAGAAGCATTTGGAGACAAATTAAAGGCTTTCTATTCACAGTAGGATTCCATTAACCGTTCATCTTTTTTATATTGAGCATGGAGTTTTATGAAATTTTAAATAAGCTTGGTTATATGTTATTTATATATGACATAGTCCTAATATGCGAACTTCATATTGAAATTTAAAATTTTACTTTAATTATGGATGGTCTTACTGGACATCTACAGGAGGATGTACCTTGGTGTATGCTTTTTGCTGATGATATCCTTCTCGTGGATAAAAAAAGAGAAAACACCCAGGAAACACTTGAAATATGGAGGTCTACATTGGAGTTTAAATTCCTTCATTTAAGTAGAACTAAAACTGAATACATGGAATGTAATTTTAGTAGTAGTAGCTCTAGTGACAAAAGTGTGACTTTGGGTGATCAAATTATTAAAAGGTGTGAACAATTTAGATATCTTGGGCCCGTTGTTCAAAGCGATGGTGATATAGATGATGATGTTAATAGTATAATTCAAGTTGGTTTGTTGAAGTGGAGGAATGCTTTGGGTCTTTTGTGTGATAGAAAAGTACCGCTTAGACTGAAAGGAAAATTTTATAGGACGGTGGTGAGACCTGCAATGCTCTATGGCGTTGAATGTTGGCCTTTAAAAGAGAAGCATAATAATAAGTTAAGCGTTGCCGAGATGAGAATGACTAGGTGGATGATTGGTTGTACACTTAGAGACAAAATGCAAAATGAATATATCCGTGATAGGGTTGGTGTAGCTCCTGTGACGGACAAAATTAGAGAAAGTCGTCTTAGATGGTTTGGTGACATTAAACGCTGACCATCTGATGATCCGATTAGGAGAGTAGATGTTTTAGATTCGACTTGTGTTAAGAAAGGCAGAGGTAGACCTAGGAAGACTTGGGCTTATTGTCTAAAAAATTATCTTAATTTACTAGAAGAACTAAATGAAAATATGACACTAAATATGACGCAATGGAGAAAAAGGATTCATGTAGCCGACCCTACGTAGTGGGATTAAGGCTTTGTTGTTGTTGTGAGGGTAATGTTTAAAGGGTTTAGGGGTTCAAGATTTAGAAAACAAAAGGAAAAAAAAAAGAATGTGATTATAGGAGTGAATATTGTTAAAAGATTTGGTGTATATGGTTAAATTTATTTGATGTATTTTATGAAATATAGATGATAATGAAATTTCTAAAATGAAACCTAAATTGTTAAAAGAAAAATGTTCAGTTGCAATGCTATAGGAGAGAACCATCGAGACATAAAGATAATTTTTAGAAAGTTGCATTTGTTCAAATTTATTATATGGATTTAAGTATTTGATTCGACTATAGAGAAATAATTGATAGTGAAGTTGTGTGGCGAAGATGACAATTTTAAGGTAGATATATGGTCAACTGTGGAAGAATAGGTTGGAAAATGGTTATATGAAAGAGCTTGTTGGAGTAGCTTCTATTGAGGATAATGCATTTGAAAACTAACTTTAGGTGGTTTAGGCATATGCAATAGATATAGAATATACAATGATAAGTGCATGCACGAGGAGGTAGAAGGGATAAAGTAGTGATAAAGTGGATAGAATTTGCTCGAAATAATTCATTCAAAATAGATTTAACTCCTCAAGTAGAAAAAATCATAGAAAGAAAAAAGAAAAAAAGTTTTTATTTGGTAAGAACGAATTTAGAATGAGGATTCATAGAATTGATTTTAAGCACTAATAAAATGGCTGATGATGATGATGATAATCACTAAACTCTCCTAGCATTTATGATCATTAGGTAAGCTGTCCATTCTTGATATGTTGAATGCAAATTACACGTTGCCTATTCGGGTGACTTTTTATGGTTCTTTTTATGATGACATCATATTTATGTTGCAGAAACAAGAAATAAAAAGATGTTTTTTGTTTTTGACATTTTGTTAGCCAACAGTTGATTTAATTTAGATTTCTCTCATACTCTTCTATGAATTGCAAACCTTTATTAAATTGCCTCATGATAAGTTCAATTTCTTTATTTATTGTATTCAAATATAGTAAATTAAAATTTTTGATTCTTTTGATTTTTTTTATTTTTATTAGATTGCTAAATAAATTGTATTGATGGTTTTCTCAATTTGTTACCCATCGTGGATTTCACCATATTGATAAGATTGTATGATAGCAGAGACTAGTTTATAGTTTTTTTTCTTTTAAGGTCTCTAATACTTCTTTGACACTACTTGAACTTTGCCTGAGCACATTTTGAATCCAAATATTATAGGGTTGACAATGATTTGATCTTAGTTCATTTTGGTCCCTGCTAAAAAATTTACTCCATCTCTAATGACTCGGCTCAAAATAAAGCCATGGTTTTTACATCCTTGATTTAAGTGGACTGGAATTGATGCAGCACATTTCAAGCTATTTCAAGTCCATTTTAAGAAAGTTCAGAATCTAATAAACAGATTAGATGAGATGCACACTAATTTTTGAATAATTATTGTTCTGCGGATTGAAGAAGAAAAGCTTTTGTTAAAGAGGGGAAAAGACATGGTTTTAGAGTGAAGAAGAATCTTTATGCTACAGAAAATTTGACAATACAATTTGGAGTATGCACAAGGCTAAGAGGATCTCTCTGTGCACAAAGCTTAGAATGAGATGGTGGCCTATAACAAATTTTATCAAGACAACTAGGAATGTAAACAACAAAACTGACACTACAACCATGCCAAATGATTGGTATTTGAAAATCCTTTAAACTATTGATGGTTTGCTTTTTGTTCTTTGGGTGTGCGAACAATGCTACTTTGTATTGTTGAAGTGTCCTTTAGGAGAAAAACAATGGCTTCAACGAGCAGCATGAGTAATCTCTATCAATCTTAGGCAGATTGCAGGTACGTGATCTTATTTTGAAATAATAGTGAATGGAAGGGTGAAATTTGTTTGGTTGGCATGCCATTTTAATTTGATCAACTGATCATTTTGAGCTACTAATTCTCTTTTCTCATGGCTCTTGATATGAGTTGAATCTGAAGTCAGTCAAGTTGGGTTTGGCTCATTAGGATTGTTTTTTATTTCTGGCTTTGGCCCATTGGTTTGGTACGGTTTAGTTGGTTTTGAGATTAACCAATTGGGTTGGATTAAGAAAGTATTGATTTGCGAAGAATGTGGCTGATTTGAAGGGTGCATTGGATTATGAAATTATTATCTGCTTTTATTTAGAAGAGAGTTGGTTTAAAAAGTGAGCAAGTTAGAAAGAGCTTGAGGAAGAAACTAATATATGAGGGAGGGAAGATTAAGTTGTCATAATGAATTAGCCTTGGAGTGAAAAGTAGAGGGCTTGTGTAATTCAATTCTTGTGGTGTTGGAAAATTTTAAGGGTGGGAGGGAGGGAGGGAAGATTAAGTTGAAATAATGAAATAGTCATGGGGTGAAAAGTAGAGGGCTAGAGGTGATTTGATTCTTGTGGTGCTGGCGAAATTTATGTAAGTCTTTTTTTTTGTTTTTATGTGGTCATACTTTTTGGAGTGTGGGGTAGAGCGTGGGAGTGTGGGTTGGGTGGTGTTTGGGAGGGGATTAGGAAAATGGTATTGATTTTGGGAAAGGTGTAATTGGTTTGGATGGGTTAAAATTTGAGGTCTGTGTTTAGGGTTGTTTATGCTAGACTAGCATGCCACAATGTATTTTGGTTGAAAGCTAGAATCACATACGCATTATAATGACATTAATGCTTTGACCCTGAATTTTTGTCATTGTGTAGATTGTCATCATGGTAGTTTCCCTTGATGCAAAGCTAATCTTTGTTTCATATTTATAGATTACAAAATAATGTCAAATAGTTTCAATATGAGTTGGAGTTTCTTAGTTGAGGAAAGGATCGATGTGGATATGTAAAATTTTGCACCCACAATTTGGATGACTAATCCATATGTCTAATTTGGATTTGAGGTGTCAAATCTTAGTTCTGGGAGGTGGTGCACCTCGACAACATGGGATGCAATGAAAGGATTGTTCTCAGCTATTAAAATAAGTTTCAAGAGGCAGGATTAATTGTTTCAAGAGGCAGGATTAATTAAAATTTTCCTTGTACTAAATAAATGTTCAAGGAAAATTAGAGTGATAGGGTTGGTGTAGCTCCTGTGACAGACAAAATTAGAGAAAGTCGCCTTAGATGGTTTGGTCATATTAAACGTCGACCATTAGATGATCCGATTAGGAGAGTAGATGTTTTAAAT